AGACACTGTGAGCAAGGGAAAGGCTGTAACAGTTTACAACCAGATTCACAAAGGCAGGGAAGCAAGTAACTGGGTGGACAAAGCTTAGAGATACTGACCAGGAAATATTGGATTTCAGGTTGAGTATGAAGCCCATTGATATTTTAATAATTTTGCTTTATGCACTCCAGACATAGATGGGCATAATAAACAACACTTTTGTTTTTCAGAAACTGATTTTGAGGCTCTGAAATCAAATGCTATTTGGTTTATTGGATGTATTTGTCATTGCCACATGTTTTTGTTGCATTATGGTGCAGGAAACAGAACCGACTGCGTGGAACTCCTTTCTGCTGTGATCAGGTAGTGTTACGTACAACAAGCATGTTGAGGTTACACTTATCTTGCTATGCTCTTGAGATAAACAAAAGGCATAAAACCCCCATATGTCTGCAACTGTGACACTTCCCCGTATAACCCTTCAGTGAAGGAGCGGCAGAATTCCAGTCCTGGATTTTCTCAGGTAGCAATACCCTTTTTTGGTACCAATTATAGATGTTCAGCACTTCATCAGGCCTTTGACAAAAGTAAATTCTGCAGTTCAACAAAAGCCCAGGGGAACCTTGGTTCCTGAAGTGTGCTGTTTTAAACTTACCAGTGTGTTGGTAATAATGTGTTATTACCATGAATATGTTCTAGACTCAGTCCTGTCATATCAAAGATGAACTCTCAGTGTTTTTAATAGGACTGTTCAAGTGAATTTTGAACCACTTGAAGGCCTTAAATCGGTAAATGCTTCTTCTGTTTCTTAATCTTTCACTTGCAAGCCAAAACTTTATGCTAGCTGTGTCCAAAATCAGAAATACTGAGCTAGTTCACAAATTGCGCTCAGTACTATAGCATTACAGTACATATATACTATGCTACTTTCATCTAGCAAAATGTGTAGTAGAACACTGCACATGTCATTCCTTTAACTGTTTATACACAGTGTCCTCTGAAGGAATTTGATATATTTGTTTCACTTAGCTCAGTCATGATTCAATTTCTCAAGTTATGAACAGCAGGCACAGATCTATATTTCTTTTCTTTATTTCATTACAAGCTGATAATTTTATTGTATTTCATTTTGAGATTCATCTCATGAACACACTATGTGTTTTGCATTTAGCTAGATCTTTCTTATTTTTAGATCTTGTGTGATTCACAGTAAGTAAAAAAAAAAAAAAAGAACCAGCCACCCAGAAGCTTTTGTTCTTGCAACCATTTAAAACCAATTTGTGATCCTCTCCACTCAAACGTTTTCTTCAAAACTGATAATATTTTCTGCATGAAAAGTTGCTGAGTTGAGAACAATAATATATGCTAAAATCATACATGCATTTTTCTTTGTAATTGGTTTTATTATATCTGTACATTTTCCTACCATCTTTGAAGATTGGATTGTATCATGAGAAGCTCTGTACAAGAGAACAAACAAAGGGCTCACTCATTCCCTCTGTGACTCCACGTACTGGAAAAGAGATCTCAGCTCTGGTAATCATGTGAAAAGCTCTTCATCTACCCTTTATTGGACAAAGGGAAAAGTCTTGGATTTTGCTCTCTAAGGATCTGGGAGGAAAAGGGGTGAGAAGTGGGGTTTTTTTGTTATCTATAACCTGCCAAGGCCGTCACTTCTAACTCATGAAGACTTCTTGGTCTTGTTTACAACAAAGCACTTTAAAACACAGGTCTGGTGAGTGTTCTTTGGTAATTCCTAAACTGAAGCACAACCGCTAAGTATCCTATCTGTAACATGCTAATGACAGCCTGGGTCCTGGTTTGGGGATATCCCAAAATCCACATCTGCAGCAGCCAGAGCAGCCAAATACATGATCCATGACAAAATTTACTTCCACAAAGACTACCACCAGACTGCCTCTGAACTTCGTCTCATTTTGATGCTCATTTCAATAACCAAAGATCAAAATCTTTTACTGTTACAATGGAGGAAAGATAAGATACAAGTTTAGGAGATGTTGATATTTTTTTTCTCCTTTTTCTCCAACTTGTAAAGTATTCAAACATTGTTTGGGACTGGAACAGAAAGTGAACTAGAAATAGAGCCACAAAATTCTCCTAGATTCTCATTCTCATGCAGAAAAGTTATATTGCAGACAAACACCAGAGGAAAGTAATACTGATATGAAATGTTTGAAATACAAAAATACAAAGCACTTTAAACATTTTTTTTTATGTCCGGCTGTTCTTTTTGTAACACAGCTTGACATTACAATTTATTCATAAATGAAAAGTGTTTTAGCATGTAATATTCTTCAAACACCTGGCAATGATAACATTTCTTTTAAGTTAATATATCAATGCAATCACTAGGAAAAGTATGCCTTGGATTTAAAGGGTTCTAAAGAAGCTAAGATTATTATTCAGAATCTATATATTCATGCATACTTATACCGAGGTCAAGGTGATATAACAATGAAAAAAGTAAATAAATATACAGAAATACATTTCCTGAAATGCATTATCTTTACTAATAAAATTGTTTGATTTTTCAGTTGTTCCTTGCTACCCCCCAGATTTTTAACCACAGCTTTTAAGCAGTCAGCACACAGTACTGTATATATCTCTATGGGGTCACATGCACACAGAGGCCCATGAGGTTGGAACGCTCTGTTTTAACACCAGCGAGCTCATGTGGTTTTTCTTGAGTCTAGCATTTGGGAGGCTGCACTGCCAAACTTGAAAAGTTTACACAGCGCTTTCAGACCAAGAATATGGCTTTCAGAGCTTTTCCAGCTGTTTCTTACCATGAAGGCAGACTGTGTTTGAATTTTTTGATACACAAGCACACAGACAAATACTGAAGAAAAAAATTAAGAAGCAAGCCATATGGACAAACAGAGGTCGGATGCGCAAATGCTTTCTCTGACTCTATTTTGTTTAGCAATATACAGGCACAACCTGTACCTTACAGAGGACCTGATAGATGGCTTCAAAGAATCACTGTATTTTGGCTTAGAAAACTCTTTCAGCTCACTTGTGGAAAGAGCCAACAAGTACATTCTCCGGAGTTTATGATTCTGATATTTTTTTACTTTTTTTTTCCTCAAAAACATAATCTTTCATATATGTAAAAGGACTAAAATGAGATTTTGGTTGCAGAGATACTGACAATCATAGAAGTTTGGTTGTCCAGTGTTGTAAATAGATTATTTTATTGTATAAAATACAAATTTTTATGGAAAAAAGAGAATACAGTGAACTATGTAATACAAGTTGTCACCTGCTTTTCAGGCCTTTGTCTCTATCAACTGTTACCAGTGACATCACTCAGTAATAATATCTGTAAGTATTTGAAGATGTACATAATGTAGTCAGTTGCTGCCAAAAAAGAAAGATGGTTTTCTTTGTCTTTCACTGGCTGTTTCCAGTGTCTGTTAAACTCGGGCTGTGTATCTTGGCTTCTTATATCTAACATGCTGTATATGTTTGCTGTTAAGCTCATGATAATTTTCTCCTCCTGCACCAAGAAGCAGATGTTTTTAAAAATATTTGAACAGCAAGCTGAATGTAGCCACATTGCCATATGGCATTCAACTGTGTAAGGTTACATAGTTACTGATATGCTGGAAACTGAGAGTATAGATTGTGTTTCATATAAAATGTGATTTACTTGATCTGTACTAAAGCAAGCACAAATAATATACTCTGATCTGCAACTGTGGCAGTTTTAATGTTTCTGTAAAATTCTTGTTGCTGCAGTATCAGGCCAACTCTTGGAGTTTCCTATTAGATGTCATGAGAATTTAAAATGAAAGAAAACCTTCAGTGTAAGAAACCTCTAGGATAGATTTGTGTTACAGACTTTTATACATGAATTGGACTTTATTTGACTTCTTAATGTTAGTGGAAGGCCTCAGTAGAAAGAATTTAAAAATAAGACCATGTAAAGGGGAAAATACTAGACATAAATGAGCATATATTATAACTGAGAAAGAGAGGAAGCTCTCCTAGGGAAGGAAAATCAGTAGCTCTCAGATCCTCAATGCAATCTCCTATTGAAGGAGCTCTGTTCAGATCTCTTCCAGAGTCCCTGTGGTACTAGGATTTGTTTCTATACAAGTAGTATCAGTGTGCTTTGCTAGACATGCAGTGCAGGGAGAGGAATCTGTGATTTTGTGAGAACATGAACAGTGAACAGGAGGGGTGGTGTGTTTTCTGAGAATAACCAGAGGAAAATCTTGATCTGATGTAGCCTTGGTAAAATGTAATGAATCTTTAGGTTTTTGGAGCAGACTGCTTACTTAATTGGGTCTTTTTTTGCCTTAAAAAGTAAAAATGCTTAGCTTGAGGATTTTTTTCACCCTGCCTTTTTTTTTCTCCTTCTTCGTTATGGCAACACATAGTTACCAGTGTTTTACATTAGTCTTTACTCTAGATTAGGCCTTATAGGCAGTGTTAAAGCATAAATACAGAAATCATACCTTCTCAAATACTACTTAAAATACAAGAATACAGTGTATGAAGATGGATAATCATATCTTGAGGAGGTTTATTACTTTCTGCTTTGTTTGATATTTCCCATTGATACAAAAGGCACAAAGTTTACACATCTGAAATGTGGCATAGGCGTGTGAATTCTGACCATGAAGTGCCAGTATCAACTTTTAATAGGTCTTAGCCTGGCCCACATTGCATCTTCAAGTATATTGTCCTAGGCCAGTAATTACAGTCTTTTATACAAGACCTATTTTAGGGTGCTGTTTTTATATAATGTATATTTTTATCTTGACTTTGAAAGATCAAACCCTGTTTGTCATGTAAATTCTGCCTTGTGAATGTTTCAGTGACTTAAAGGAACATCACAACTCTGAAGATACTGAAGCAGCAATATTTTTCCTGTGATTGCTATGTATATGCAGTTTTCTTCCATATTCTTCTGACTGAAAAAGGTGGTGGGGGAAGGAGAAAGAACATGTTAGGGTAAACTGACAATAAAGCCCATTCACAAATAAAACAACTTAAATAGATTGCATTTAGTTCTATTTCGAGTCAAAAGAAATAGAAAAAATTCAAATATTCATGCTTTATAGACTGATTGCTCAGTTCCAACACAGAAGTTAATTGAGGTCCTTATCCTTTCTCTTGTTCTCAGTCTTCCACCTGGGTAAACTTGAACACAAGCAGTTTGACCAAGGTATCCAGTGGTGAGTTACTGGTAAGGTTGTCCCTGCCCTAAGGATCCTTTAGGCTTTTAGGCATGTTGCTTGAGTCCTGTTAGGATCATCCAAGTCTGTGAGCAGCAATTGGTATTTAAAAAAAAAAAGAAGTGATATTTAAAATAGTTGCTTAAAAACCAAGCATACTGAATATCCAAAACCATGTCACAAAGAAATTCTACAAGACAGACTAATCCTCATCTTATGCCAGTTTTTACAGGCTGCAAATCTAAGTGAGGGCATTTTTTTTATACTGTGCTGTGTGTAATAGATATTTTTCATATATTCCAGTAACCCATTCTGTTTTCCTTCCACTCTGCATACAGAATCTGCTTGGAATGTGACAATTGTAGTAGCCCTGGTCTTCCTAAGTTCAGCAGCTGTCTTGAGACGTACACACTCTGCTTATTTTTAAACATGCAAAGCAACTGGGAGGAGAGCAAAGGAAGATGAAGAATTCAAATTGATTACCAGAGTACGTTATAAATAATATGTAAAACAATGGTATGTAAATGTACCATGGTATCATACAGTTATAATACATTGCAAGAAACACTTTTTATTTAATTACAGACCACTGAAAATGAGTGTCCAAAGCTAGGCAGAATTTTAGACAAAGCCAAATAATGCTTCAATGTTTCATAGAGGAGGCGACTGCATCCTCACTTACTTCCTATTTTGAAGGCAAACTCAAGGCTAGTAAAAGACATTAGAGTAAAAGAAACTCTTCCACTTGTGAACAAAGCAATGAGTTGAGTCTGGTCAAAAATCATACAATTTCCTCTACATTTCCAGGATTTACTATCTATCTCTCATGTTTAGGGAGACTGCTCACTTCCACAAGTAAATTACTTCCTGTGACAGAAGCCTATGGGATTCTATGTATTTTCAATCTGATGCTGATATCTTTGTAACAATTATCCAGTTGCCACTCTACTGTTTAAAGTGATCTGCTGAAATGACAAAAAACTTCAACATATTGATGATTTAGCTATTAGATTTAAATGACAGAAGCTGAGCTATGTACACTACCCAAATTATATATATGGCCAGGTTTCTCAGAAAACATATGCTGTATAAAAAGATTTCTCTGATATCATCTATGTAAAGTAAAAAAATTTGAAAGATAGATATAATAATGTAAGAATGAAAATAAAATAATTTCTACCTCATCAAATATAACTCAACAAGCATGTGGTTCTTATTCCACACAAGCTTATTATTTTTCTTCCAGTTTAGGAAAAGTGATTTGAAATACGGGTGATACTATTCATACAGTCTTGGGTCCATCTATGAATTCATTTTTTGAGTTCCTATTTATGTTATTCTTTATTGCAAAACAGTCACAGTGGATTAAGTTTTTCAGAAGATGAAATCCATATGTTGGTAAATTAGGCTGTTACATTTCCTACTTCTTTGGCGTTAATTACTGGTCAATTCATATAGCAGAATTAAAACTAATATTGAAGTTGACAAACTGGTACCCAAGGTACTATGAATCAGTAAATTTGAAATATAAAGTTGCATTTTATATAACTGTGTTGTGCCAAGAAATTTTGTTGTTGTTATTATTATTATTATTATTATTATTATTATTATTATTATTATTATCACTGAATAATTTATTTTGATGGCTAATCATCCTTTTTTTCTCTCTCTATTTTCTTTTCTTTTTTTTTTCTTTTTGTAGGACAGAAAACCTGTCTATCCCTGCTCTACCACGCTTGAACCTGGTCAGAATATGAATCGCCATTTAAAATATGCTAGCATGATATTACTGTAGCTTTTTAAGAGAAGATTTTCTTCCTGTGGTCCATTTTATCTTTGACAGTTATAAATTTTTTCAAGATGGAGTTGACTGTCCTCAGCTCCTGAGGTAGACCAGCTGCCATGCTGCAGTGCAGCATTGACCTTTGTGTTCTGTATGACTCCAACAGAATCATTTGAGTCATTTAACATTAAAATAATGTTCAGTGACTCTGTCATTTTCAAGTAATTTCCTGAATAATTTCAAATCTATTAATATGGAGGAAACTGCTGCTTGACAAAGGTTGGACTCTGTGAATCCAGGAGCACCAGCTAATTTTTAACTTCCCTTATTATCTGCAACGAAACCTGCTATGACAGACTCATTTTCAGTACCAGATAGTGAGGAAGATGGAGGCAATGCACATAACTGACATCCTTGTCTGAAAAATTGCAGTGATCTTATCTTTTCCTTGTAGTCTGATGTTTTACATGGGAAAAGAAAGCCAAACTAAAAATATAATGCTACTGCATCAGACTAGGAGACTTTGCTCCTAAACCTCATGGAAATTGAGGAAAAGAAATTTGAGTTTTAATAGGAATTTCATCTTTACATTTGCAGCTTATTAATTGATCCTGTTGATTACAGTTACAAAAAGCCCAGTAACATTTTCTTTGTTTGTCAGGCTTATTGACTGGAATGAAAACAGAAGAGCTAACTAATCTATAATAGGCACAACCTATATCTTTTTATGGTTCTTTCAATGTTACCTCCATTTTTATTTTCATGATATTACCTAATCACAACATTATATAACAAAAATTAGCCAACATATAGCCTGACACTTTAAGGTGCTGAACTCCCTTAAAAATTATTCCCAATGCATTACTTATTGCATTTTAGATAGCCAAGAATTCCATCTGTAAAAAGTATACCTGATTATTTTTTTCATGGCATTTTAGAGTATATGCACTAAAAGATGTCTGTGCCAAGCTACTTAAAGCTTGGTGAAAAGATCATCACTTTTCTGAAATGACTGACTATATATTGTGAGCCAGTAAGAACAGGATCATTAAAGAGTTTATTTTGAGCCGCCAGAACAAGGAATGATATTGCTGGATTGAAAGATATGACATATTGTTTTACCTCAATGAATATTGAAGATTGTCTCTTCAAGAAAAATAGAAGACTGCACATCTTCCCATGTCAAAAAATAGATAAGCCCAAGGGGAAAAAAGGAAAGGGAACCACGAGATAAAAATTGAACTGTTGAAATGTGGTGAGTGAAATGTGATTATTGTAGTCATTATACTGTTGTCAATTAGATTAACAAGTAGCTCTGGAAATGGGTGATGAAGTAATGGAAAACTTATTTTAACTGCAACCAATTGGCTTACAGCAAATTATCTAATGAGTGACTTGTTTTTAACTCAAAGGTGGTTTTCTCAAACTTTGATCTTCTGGATAAATACCTAAAGTAAGACAGATCATTATCTTCTTAGAAAAAATATCTCTGTAAGGGAGAAAACAAACAGCTCTTATTGATTCTTTTTTCAAATACTTCTAATGAAATAGCAAATGTGCATATCTTGCCTTTGAAACAGGCAGACTCTGAATGCTTTTTTCTAGCAATTCTCATCACTCACAGAGGAACTCATAGAAAGGGACCAGGCTTCTGGACAGGAGACCAACTTTAGCACTTGGTGTAGGGAAAGGGAAAACAATAGAACAGAACAACTTAAGCGCCTCGAGAAAAGTCTGGTCTGCCTCCCCAGCCTCCCCAATGAACACAAACCTGGAACCACATAAAAAGAATGTGACCATGTGCAAGGATGTGGCAAATTGCTTTGTGGTCTTCAAAGCATGTCACATCTCTTTCTTTACTCTCTGTACCTGCTGGGTGCAGTTTGTTTCTGGTAGGAGCTAGGCATCACGTTTCCACTCAGTCTTAACAACCTGACCCATTATTTTTAATCTAATAAAAAACCTGGTTTTCATTTAACACTGTTAAACAAAATCTGGTACTTCTTCAGAATATGTAGTTAATGTTAGGTATGCAAGAAGTGGGAAAATGTGCCAGAGATATAGAAAAGCTACTAACGCATAATTTAACTCCACATCTCTAGTCAGAGTTGAGAGAATCAAACTAGAGGCTTTACTTTATGCCATGACTGCATACATGATACTGCTCTTTGCTATATTTTTAATCTAGTCAAAACATGACAGATATGAAGGTCCATTAGCTCAGTTCTTTATTTAAAATTAATTGATGTAAAAAAGTCTGAAATTTAAATGCATGTATCCATAGAGGATTTACATATGCACACCTAAGCTATTTTTCAAGTAATATAATTTGAACTGATACACCTTTTCATAAAGGAAACTATACTTTGTAGTTTATGGCATTGAATGGCCAAATTTCTGTGTGCTTGTCTCACACAGAATAGCAAAGGAAAGCAGAAATTATAGCCATGAGTCAAAGCTGTGCTAGCAGGTTTCAAACTGGAACATCTGCATATGTTCACTAAAAATATGGCTCTAATAATTGCAAGATCATTCTGTCCAGTATTTGTTACAGCAATGATGTACTAATGACACAGTACAATTTCATAAAATTCGGACTCTTTAATCCATTTTTGTTGTTTCTTTGGAAGGTGGCCATACTTCAGATGCATTGCACTGCTGACAAATCAGTGGAGAATGTAGAATGTATTTTCTGCTAGTAGCTTCACAGCAGGGTCGTCTAATTCTTACTGTAGCCAAAAAAACTTTGCATGAATGTGTAGCCATTCTGGAGACAGGAAACCTGAAACACTCTCCTATACTTTGAATGAGATTAATTCAGTCAGGTGATAAAGAATTTTCATTTAATTAATCATTTCATTTAATTAATCTCATCTTTGAGGATTCCACATATAATGTAAAAATGCAATATCATAAAATGATATTTTACGACATGTGGAGATAGAAAAATAGAAGAATTTGGTTAGAATACAAACCCATTTCAGATGTGAATTCTCACCTTTATTTTTGAAGAACCATAAGCTGAAGTTTGCTTTGAATTCATTTAATGAGTTTTCCTACAGTTCATTTCCATTCCTTATTTCTTGTGGAAGAAATATAAAATTCTAGAAGACCCTTCACTACTCAGAAAGTTGACCGCTGTAGAATAAAGATATTTTTGGGGCTTACCTTAGCAAAAAATTTTGGACAGCAGGAGCAGACCACTTACAGTTTATATATACAATATGGAGAGTTTGAGAAGGAATGTTCTTTCATGCTAGACTTTTCTACTTTCCTTACACCAAATATTTATAACACACAATATGTGTTTCCATTAGCCTTGCTGACTAGCTTGTCAAATTACCTGTGTTGTCTGGGTCTGAGGAGTGTCTTTTTGTCCTATATACTTCTGAACAACACCTAGTATCATGACGGTCACCACTTAGCAGAACAGTTGTGGTAGTTTGGCCCAGGCCTTCCTTGGTGACCAGTTTGTAACCAAGGAAGGGTCCAGATTTACCCAGTATTCCCTACGATTTTTACGTAAGCCAGGCTATAAGAAGAAAGGAGGAGAGGCCTTCGCTCTCTTTCCTTCTAGCGGCTTGGAGGTGCAGGTTCCCTGCTGTTGAGTTTGTCGTGTTGGGGAGCGAGGCCTGGTTAGGCCTTGCCGACCTTGGGAGGCAGAGGTTGCCGGCGATCGTTCCAGAGTGACTTTCGGTTGTCCCAAGGAGAGTAGTGAGATATTCCTTTGCTAACTCTTTTAGTTGTTAGATATCGGGCTACTAATTGGGATATATATATATTTTATTTTGGTTTTGTTCCTTTTCCCTTCCCCCTTCCCTTTCCCTTGTGAAATTGTATATATTTCAATTGTATATAACTGTAACATAAGTGTAAATATATTTATATATATTTATATATATCACTTTAGCTGTCTCTCTCTTGTTTCGGGTTTTCTTAGTTGTTTTTCTCCCTCTTCTCCCTGAGGTTTGGGGGGCGGGGGGGACTCCTTGTGGTAAGGTTTGGAGACTTGGCAGGGAGCCAGCTTCAAACCATACCAACAGTCTTATAAAATGTAAAGACTAACAATATATCATTCTGTAAAGAACAGCAATATTATGATCATCTGTAACAAGAAGATGGGAATTTTGATTAGACACAATGGATATCTACAGTCATGACTTGATTGTATGTACAAATAAAAGAAGTGGTAGTAATAGTGTTTGCTTTGAAAAGGCTGATGAAGGACAGTTTTCTTTTTTCATTTTTGATTATTATGGAAAGAAAAACTTGCAATTACTTCTATCAAGTGAAAAAGTCCTTCAGAGGAGAACAGTAGTCGCTCTTCAGGAATAAACTGACAGGAAAACAATGCCCTTTATCCTACATAAAATTACTTGTATGAAAATTACTTTTTAGTGCTGAATTCAGATGAGTTAATACTGGACAAATACATTTCTTAAAAAAATATTAACATATTAATGAGAGGGCAATAAAACATATACCCTACCACCTGATACAATCCAATTCCAACTGAAAGGATTAGAAAGACTCTCACCTACTTAAAAAGGATTCATTCAAGCCATTAGGGAGGCAGGCTTTTGAAGTTCAAGCAGTTTCTTATTAGAATGAATTTTCAAACAATTCCAATATTTAAAAAAAAAAAAAAAGGCAGCAGTTAAGTAAACAGGAGAAAACCTGAAGCAAAACTGGTAATCTGAGGGTAATTTTTTAGTCAAGTTTTATTGCAGCAGATAACACAATTAATGATACACAGCTCATGGTATAATTATCTCATATTACTGATATGACTGAAACAGAACAGCAACTATATAATTCTGTCACTTCTCTGTCCAAACACTGTCTCTAAAATGCTGTGGATTTTTAACATAAAACAGGACAGACTACTTTACTTTAGCCGGCCTGGCTGTAGGAACTCTGGAGCTGCCCAAACAGAGCAGTTTATCCAGCCAGCCACTAATGATGACATATAATATATACAATTAGGGGAAGACAGGCTGCTTCCACTGCTAGGTGGTGCTTCTGGTCTGAATTGAAAAAATAATTCTGGATTGCATGAATTCCTTTTCAGAGGAAGAAAAAGGGGTTTATTTGATCTATTTCCTGAAACTGTTCATCAGCTTAAAGCAGCACCAGAAACTGGCTTGAAGTGTCCAGAGCATTAATGTCAGGATCTCTTAAAATATTTCTCTTAATACGAAATTTCCCTCTTAAGACAGAATTTCAGTTCTACAAGGTTATTACCCAGCAGCTAGATCATGAAAAAAACCAGTTTGTGCAAAAACTGTTTGCAAAGTCAGTGGTGAAATGACTGACTTTTTAAATTATTAAGTATAATAATGATCTATACAATAACTAGCCAGTCATTGAAGTGGGGTGTCAATAAAAGTATAATCAATCATAAAAATATTCATTGATTAAACTTTTTCAGAGAGTGAGAGGCTTTCAGTAACCTGCAAGAGTATTTTCCCAAACAAATTACAGTTCTTTCTGCAAGGAGTGTGGGAGAGGAAAACTGCATCACACAGAGAGAGGAAAAGTACTCAGTTGTCCTGGATTTAAACAGAGCTAAATTTTTCAAAATGCAGAAAATTGAGTTCTTGCTGATGGTCTTAATAGGAACTTGTCTAATAGCACTTCTTTGTAGGAACTCTGAATATGTATAGTGTGGAATCAAATAAATTGGATAATTACTTTCTCTTAAAGGTCTTGTAGTGACTGAAAATTCAGATGCTTTCAGGTATTCCACCTTTGGTTTTTGGTATAAAAACAATATCACAGAATATCCTGATTTGGAAGGGACCTGCTTGGATCATCAAAGTCCAACTCCTGGCCCTGCACAGGACCATCCCCAGCAGTCACACCATGTGCCCAAGAGTATCATCCAAATGCTTCTTGAACTCTCTCAGGCTTGGTGCTGTGGCCACTGCCCTGGGGAGCCTGTTACAGTGCCCAACCACCCTCTGGGTAAAGAATCTTTTTTCTAATATCCAGCTTAAACCTCCCCTGACCCAACTTCAGGCCATTCCCTCGGGTTTCCACTGGTCACCACAGTAGGCAAACTCCACATTGCTTCAGACTGTTCCAAGAATGAAAACGTGACATAACTTGGCATACTTACCAAATTTAACTTGACCTATAGCAGTTTTCCATAATCTAGGTAATATACGGAAAGGAAGGTGGCAAGGGGTGGGGAGAGTGCCACTACATTTCTTCAGAGGAAGTGTTAGGAATAAAACTGTATGCTACCATTTGCTCAGTTCTTTTGTTCTCCCTTTCAAAATTCCATTTATGTGCTCAGCACTGTAAACTGATTATTCCCCAAATCAGGCTAATTGGCCAATTAGCTGAAAGTAAAGGTAAATCAGACATTGTAAATATTGCATAATTAGATTTACTGACAATTAATGAACTACTGCAGATACAGCACATCCACAAAGAAATATTAGGAAGAGGAATAAAAAAGACCGATCTCAAAGTATAAACTGTTAAACATTTTTATATTAAAAAGGATTTATTTTATTCCTCTGTCTTTTGATTGTTGTCAACATTGCTATATTATTATCAATACCAATCACTACATAAGTAAATAAAAAATTATTCTTTTCTAAAACTTTGAGTATAGGCAGTCTTTCTGGTCAGCAAATCTCTACAACTGATAACTTCAAGTGTAGTAACTGCACTCTGTTGACACTATTAGATCTATCTAGTAGTTAAGAGTCATTGTGAAGGTTGAAGTGGAAAATAAGATTGCCCACAACAGGAATTTCAAGATCTGGCTAAGTAGCTTTGGACATTTGCTGCAAATAAACATTGAAATCTTGAAGGCATACTCATAGATTACAAAAAAGGTTTGGGATTTCATTCCTTCTTTTCATCCCTTTTCCTTCTCCACCCTCATTCCTCTCGCTTTCACAGCCTCACGGAACTATAGAATATGCTGACTTGGAAGGGATCCACAAGGATCATTGAGTCCAACTCTTAGCTCTGCACAGGACCATCCCCAGCAGTCACATCACGTGCCCGAGAGAATCATCCAAACACTTCTTGAATTCTGTCAGGCTTAGTGCTGTGGCCACTTCCCTGGGGAGCCTTTTCCAGTACCCAGCCACCCTCTAGGTGAAGAATCTTATTCTAATATCCAACCTAAACCTCCCCTGACACAACTTCAGGTCATTCCCTCAGGTCCTGTCACTGGTCGCCACAGAGATCAGTGCCTGCCCCTCCTCTTCCCCTTGTGAGGAAGTTGTAGACTGCGATGAGGTCTCCCCTCAGTCTCCTCCAGGCTGAACAAATCAAGTGACCTCAGCCACTCCTCACACGGCTTCCACTCAAAGCCTTTCACCATCTTCGTTGCCCTCCTTTAGACTCTCTCTAATGGTTTAATATCTTTATCACATTGTGGTGACCAAAACCGCACACAGAACTCAAGATGAGGCCGCACCAGTGCAGAGCAGAGCAGAACAATCCCCTCCCTTGACCAGCTGGTAATGCTTTGCCTGATGCCCCCCATGACATGGTTGGCCCTCCTGGCTGCCAGGGCACTGCTGGCTCACATTCAACTTACCGTTGACCAGGACCCCCAGGTCCTTTTTCTGGAGCACTGCTTTCCAGTATCTCTTTCCCCAGTCTGTACATCCATCCAGGATTACCCTATCCCAGGTGAAGAATCCAATATTTTCCCTTTATAAAGTTCATCTAGTTAGTGATTGCTCATTTCTCTAATTTTTCGAGGTCTCTGCAGGGCCTCCCTGCCTTTGAGGGAGTCAAAAGCTCATCCGAGTTTTGTATCATCTGCAAACTTGCTCAGTATCCCTTCCAGTCCCGCATCCAAGTCATTTATGAAGATGTTGAAGAGCACAGGGCCTAAGATGCAGCCCTGTGGAACCCCACTAGTAACGTCACCAGTCTGATGTTACCCCATTCACTATTACCCTCTGTGCTTGACCCATGAGCCAATTGCTCATCCACCACATGATGTGTTTATCCAACTGTGTGCTGGACATTTTGTCCAGAAGGATCCTGTGAGAGACAGTATCGAAAGCTTTACTTAAATCCAAAAAGATTACATCAACTGACTTCCCTTGATCAACTAGGTGGGTTACCTTGTCATAGGCAGAAATCAGTTTTGGTAAGCAGGACTTTCTTCTCATGAAGCTGTGCTGGCTGTGACCAATGACTTCGTTGTACTTCAGGTGTTTTTCAATAACTCTCAGAATAATCTTCTCCATAATTTTACCAGGTATTGAAGTGAGACTGACAGGCCAGTAGTTTCTGGGGTTGTCCATCTTGCCCTTCTTGAAAATTGAGACAACATTTACCAGCTTCCAGTCAGCTGAGACCTCTCCAGATCCCCAAGACCACTCAAAAATCATCAAGACATTTTGCTTTTAGTAAAAAAGGCACAAAATATCCTGGTTCTATTCCTAC